GAAACATGTATATTATCTAGGGTGAAACAGATCACCAGCCCAGGTTGGATGCATGAGACAAGTGCTCGGGCCTGGTGCACTGGGAAGACCCAGAGGGATGGGATGGAGAGGGAGGTGGGAGGGGGGATCGGGATGGGGAATACATGTAACTCCACGGCTGATTTGTGTCGGTGTGTGCCAAAACCCACTACAATACTGTAAAGTGGTTAGCCTCCAACTAATAAAAATAAATGAAGAAAAAATGTCTCTGAACTCTTATCAAAATACAAGCATAGAAGAATCTGAAACCTATCCACATGGACTCAAATGTAACCACTCTAGTTCTGGCAGATACCTGTTTATCTACAGGTAAGAATGAGCAGTTTCAGGCTGCAATAGTCACAACTAGCCTTACCACTGGTCTTCTAAGTTTACAGAGTCTTTGTTATGTAGGTTTCTGCCCTGAAGGAAGTGCTATTTTGATGTGTATTTCTAAGATGAGTACTACAACTATCTTGGGCCACTTTAACTGGAACTTTCCTATGAACCTTCCTACAGACTGCCTCCCTTAACCAGACTCTTGTGGGGCTTCCCAGGTGACTCAGTGGTAAACAACCTGCCTACCAATGCAGGAGACTCAGGAGACGCAGGTTTGATTCCTGGGCCAGGAAGATACCCTGGAGAAAGGAAGGGCAACCCATTCCAGTATTCTTGCCTGGAAAATCCCATGGACAGAGGAGCCTGGCAGGCTACAGTCCAGGGAGTCACAAAGAGGTGAGCACGTAAGCATGCAGATTATGGAGCTAAATTGCTTGTATTCGACTCTGGGTAAGGTATTACCTAGCCTTGACTTTCGGTAAATTACTTAATGCTCCAATACCTCAATTTCCTCATTCATAAAATGGGGATGATAATAATAATTACCTCAGTAGGTGGTTGTAAGGATTAAATGAGTTAAATATGAAACAAACATAGAACAGCATCTAGTTGAGTATAAGCACTATAAGTAAGTTTATGCTATTATTATCACCAGTCTATTTTTCCTTTAATAAAGGAAATCTAAGAAATGAAGTTTTTTGAAGCCATTCTAATGGTTAACACTTGGCAGTTTTATTTTAAAACAGGCCAATAAATAAAGAAGAGCAATCTTTTTTTTATTTTTTAAATATCTTTGAAGTGAAGAAGTGAAGTGAAGTTGCTCATTCGTGTCTGACTCTCTGCAGCCCCACGGACTGTAGCCTACCACGCTCCTCCGACCATGGGATTTTCCAGGTAAGAGTACTGGAGTGGGCTGCCATTTCCTTCTCCAGAGGATCTTCCCGACCCAGGGAACAAACCCAGGTCTCCCGCATTGTAGGCAGACGCTTTACCATCTGAGCCACCAGGGAAGCCTAAATATCTTTATTGAGGTACAACTGAAAAACAATAAACAGCATATATTTCAAGTGTATCATTAGATAAATTTTAACATATATATACCCATGAAGCGATCATCACAATCAAGATAATTTGATGAATAAATCCACCAATCTCAAAAGTTTACTCATAACCTTCTGTATTCCCTCCTATAACTACAGATTAGCTTGCATCATCTAGAATTTCATATAAGTGGAATCATAAAGTACGCACTCTTATTTGGGTGTGGGTTTCGGCTTTTCTCCCCTCAATATAACTCTTGTGAAAATCATCTACATTACTGTATGTATCAGTAGCCCATGGCTTCTTCTTGCTAAATAGTATTCCATCTTATAGATATGCCAAAACATGTATATTTAGCAACTTATGGACATTTGTGTGTGTCCGGTTTTTGCTGTTGTTTAGTCAGTAAGTCGTGTCTGACTTTTTGTGACACCATGGATGGTAGCTGTCAGGCTCCTCTGTCCATGAATTTCCTAGGCAAGAACACTGGAGTGGGCTGCCGTTTCCTTCTTGGAGGGATCTTTCTGACCCAGGGATGGAAAATTGCTATCAACATTCATGTGTGAGTCTTTGTGTAGACATGTTTTAGTTTCCCTTGGGTAAATAAATACTTAGGAGTGAAATGTCTGGGTCATATGGTAGGTGTACGTTTTACTTTTTTAAGAAATTGCCAAACTGTTTTCCAAAGCGGTTGAATCATATTACATTCCCACAGCAGCATGTGAGTTTAAGTGCTTTACACTTGCCAAAACTTGGCTTGTTAGCCTTTCTAATTTCAGATGTTCTAATGTGCAGTAGCATTTCATTGTGATTTTAATTGGCATTTTCCTAATAATTACTTGATGTTGAAAATCTTTTTGTGTGCTCATTTCTTTGGGTAAGGTATCTATCTGAAGATTTCATCCATTTTTTAAATTGGATTGTTTTCTTAATATTGAATTCTGAGCTCCCTATATATACTAGACATAAGCCTTTTATCAGATAAGTGATTTGCAAATATCTTCTCCCAATCTGTAGCTTGTCTTTTCATTCTTTTAACAGTGTGTCTCAAAGTGAAGTTCTTATTTTTGATAAGACCAGTTTATTAATTTTGTTCTTTCATGGACACAGTTTTTGGTGCCATTTTTGCCTAGCCCAAGGTCACAAACAACTTTTATTTTATTACAGAAGTAACTAACAGATATTTATTCATTATTAGTTTTTTCCTGATCTTTATTTGGTCATAGGTCATTAATATTAAACACTACATAATAGTGGATTCCATAAACAATCTTTATCTTCCACATTTTTGGCTTTCATCTGCAACACCCTGCAATGCTGTATAATACCATACCATGACTATTTATTGAATAAATTAATCTAAAATGAGAAACATTGTAATAGCATTATTATTAAATACTATTGCATTTAATTTAACATGAGCATTCTTTTTTTTACATCTTGGAGAGTATCCTATTTTTTCAGTACACAAGAATTCATGAATTTTAATATAATACATATTTACTGAATACCTACTATGCACAAACTACTAAGCTAGTTATTGCATGGGAATATAGAACATAGCTATCTACCTAGGTAACAGGCATTTTTATATACATTATTTCTAATTTTTAATTTAAAGACAAGGAAATTAAAGCTTAGAAAAAGGCTATGTGTGTGTTCAAGGTCCCAGCTAGGAGTTGGATAAGCTAAGATTTATAGCCAAGTTTAAGTCAGTTAAAAAAAAAAGAAAAAAGGAGGCAAGATTTGAGGCTGTCTGATTCCAGAGACTCTGTTCTTGACAGTGTACCCTGCTAAGGCAATACTGTTAGCATTCTGATTTAAGTAGAGTAGAAGTATTATTGACTGGGTACCTGAGGACCGTGCTCAGCGGTTTCCGGTGATTTAACATCACTTTCTTGTGCTGTCACAAGTGTCGTGGGAAGAGTAATGTGAGGATCTGGCTGCAACTCCAATTCTCCCAAACTCATTGGACCATGACTAGCACATAAATCTTCATAAACAGCATCTGCTATCAAATATGTAAACAGAAAGTTAAAACAAACTATTTCTTAAAGGAAGAAAAATTGGCTAAAATTGCCAATATTTCTTACCTGCTGAATTAGAAACAGAAATACTTCAACAGAAAATGCCTGTCACCAAGACTTCATTGCAATTAAAACCAAAGATCATAGCAAATTCAAAAAGTACCTATGTTCAAACATATCTATGGATTATTTTAGGGTTCCAGTCAGCAAGTTGTTTATGCAGCCCCACATGACACCCACTCTTACATACCAAGTCCCAACCCTCTAGAATACCTTTTCGATCAATAAAAGTCAATAGAATACTTTCTATCTAAAATGTAATCTTATGAAAGAAATCAAAGAGGACACAAACAGATGGAGAAATATACCGTGTTCATGGATTCGAAGAATCAATATTGTCAAAATGGCTATACTACCCAAAGTAATCTATAGATTCAATGCAATCCCTATCAA